AATCATCACTGAATTGAAACTAGAGAGGAAGAGAGAAGGCTAGCTAATGTTGCTAAGCTATAAATTTATGCGGCTTAAAATTTTTTCAAATAGACTATAAAATTTATTTTACAGATGTTATTTTTGTAACTGCACCTTAGCTTAGTAAAGAAGTATTTAAAAAAAATTAAATTTATAAAATAATTTGCAGAAATTTTGGGCCACACATTATTATTATTAATATGCTACATAAATAAGTGTATTATCTTACGACACGGTTGGACGAGGAGTTCCAAGTGCATTACAAGAGAGTATCGAGTATCCATTAGCTGGTATCCTCCTATTACCGGTGATAGTAACGTTAGAGGGACTAGTTGGAGCTAGACAATTAGATATTTATTATTAATACAGTATAGTCGGAAAAATAGAGTGTTTAAAATTGGTGAATTGGCTCCCTGGGGGGCTAAAATTTTGGTAAAATTTTGAGCATAATTATACATAGTCTCGCTAGCCAGACTCTAATTTACCAAATAAGAGTCTGGTGTCACGCCTAATATCAACTCGTGTTGCATTTGCCAAAAATGAGAGACCCAATAAAATTGCCGTGTCTATAGTTATTGCTTAGTTACCATGGTTACAGCGTCTTACTCCCACGTTTTTAAACATGGCTGAGAATTGTCTTTGCTGCGGTGCTGCAACAAACAGAGATAGGAGACTTTTAACCTCTGAGTCCAGTAAATCTGTAGTCCCTACGCTAGTTGAACTCTTTGAGAGAAGCATGAAATTGAAGGGGGTAGAATTTCCAGGATGTGCTACATCTATGAACATCATGGAATGGACTACATGTAGATACCATAGGTCGGGATATATTCGCGGCTGCAATTATTCGCGGTCATAAAAAATTTCAATTAAAAACCATGGAAACCGAGGTGTTATTTTAATTGAAAACGGCGCGATAGTGAAGAAAAGCACCTTGCTGCAGTGTTCTTGAGCTCTTGTTCTTCTTGTGTCACTAAGCCTTGGGCTCTTTGGAACTGCTTTACCGGTTCTTTTCAGAACTCGTGCCTCGCCGTATTTTGGGACTCTCCACCTATTCTAGTTAGTGTTTATTGACTTGGGCGTGGTTTATTATCACCAGCACACGGACCAGCAACAATTTGCAGCAAAGAGGCTGAAAGAGCTCAGAGGTAGCGGTCCATACAAGAAGTTAACAGATAGAGAAGGACTCGCTATTGGTGAATGGCTCCACTATAGCTGCTAAAGAACAGATGAATAGCTGAACACTAAACACATGGTCTTAATTGTCATAGCAATGCTCTAACAGTTTCC